ATGAGACGGAGTTTCGCTCTTGTTACCCAGGCTGGAGTGCAATGGCGCGATCTCGGCTCACCGCAACCTCCGCCTCCTGGGTTCAGGCAATTCTCCTGCCTCAGCCTCCTCAGTAGCTGGGATTACAGGCATGCGCCACCATGCCCAGCTAATTTTTTGTATTTTTAGTAGAGACGGGGTTTCACCATGTTGACCAGGATGGTCTCGATCTCTTGACCTCGTGATCCACCCGCCTCGGCCTCCCAAAGTGCTGGGATTACAGGCTTGAGCCACCGCGCCCGGTTGAAATCTGCCTTTTTTGAGATAGAGTCTCACTCTGTTGCCCAGGGTAGAGTGCAGTGGTATAGTTACAGCTCACTATAGCCTCGACTCCCAGGCTCAGGTGGTCCTCCTACATCAGCCACCTGAGTAGCTGAGACCACAGGCATGTGTGCCACCATGCCCAGCTAATTTTTAAATTTTTTGTAGATATGCAGTCTCACTATGTTGCCTAGGATGGTCTCAAACTCCTGGACCCAAGCAGCCTTTCTGCTTCAGTCTCCCAAAGAGCTTGAGATTACACGCGTAAGCTACTGCACCTGGCCAGAAATCTACTTTTTCAGCACATGAATACAGGATCCTGCCCAGGAAAACATGTGTATAAGCTCCAGGATAATGTTTGAAAAGTCAGGTTAACCAGGACTGGGGTGGTGATGGCGATTATAACCACAGAAATCAGCAAAATATAGCAAGTTTCAGATTATTGAGAACTGGCTGGGAAAAAATGCAGATAAAGAGTGTTTTAAGCCTTTGTTTTCTGAATGAATGTAAAAAGAATGTGTTTCAAGAGTAGTATCATGGAACAGGCCATTGAGGCCAACTAATGCAGGTTATTTTGAAAGCAGATGCTTTCTTTCTTATGTCTTAGTATGTTTATTTACTGTAGTCAGTGCTAATTGTATTGTCTTTCTCCTCTCTGTTTTCTTTCCTTTCCTTTCTTTCTTTCTTTTTTTCTTTTTTTTTTTTTAGATGGAGTCTTGTGCAGTCGCCCAGGCTGGAGTGCAGTGGCATGATTGTGGCTCATGGCAACCTCTACCTCCAAGGTTTAAGGAATTCTCATGCCTCAGTCTCCCAAGTAGCTGGGACTAACAGGTGCATGCCACCACACCCGGCTAATTTTTTGTATTTTTAGTAGAAATGGGGTTTTGCCATGTTGATCAGGCTGGTCTCAAAACTCCTGGCCTCATGTCATCTGCCTGCCTTGGCTTCCCAAAGTGCTAGGATTACACACATGAGCCACCGTGCCTGGCCATGCCTGTCCTTGTTTTCTAATGGACTTTGGTATTGTCAACAAAAATTCTCAGGAAGGTAACCAGTTGGATCCCCATCGCCACTGCTTGGAAAGAGGATACCAAACTCTACCCCAGTTGTTTTCTTTCTTTCTTTTTTTTTTTTGAGATGGAGTCTTGCTCTGTCACCAGGCTGGGGTGCAGTGGGGCAGTCTCGGCTTACTGCAACCTCCACCTCCCGGGTTCAAGCAATTCTCCTGCCTCAGCCTCCTGATTAGTTGGGACTACAGGGGCGCGCCACCATGCCCAGCTAATTTTTGTATTTTTAGTAGAGGCAGTTGGCCAGGATAGTCTTGAACTCCTGACCTTGTGATCCGCCCACCTAGGCTTCCCAAAGTGCTGGGATTACAAATGTAAGCCACTGCGCCCGGCCTCTTCCAAGAAGGCGTGTTTTTTCTTTGAAAAATGGGGTGTCCCCCTGCCACCTTTTCAGGAAACATACTTCCTTTTTAGGCATCAGGAAAATGAAAATAGCCCTTTAATAAAATTAAAAGGTTGGGACTATTAGTTTCAGAAAGAAAAGTCTGACTTTCAGAGTATTCAGAAGATAAAATATTTTTCATATGTAGATAAAGTGAGCCTTTTTCTTTTTCTGAGTCAGGGTCTTGCTCTGTCCTCCAGGCTGGAGTACAGTGGTGTGATCTCAGCCCACTGCAACCTCTGTCTCCCAGGTTCAAGCAATTCTCCTGCCTCAGCCTCCCAAGTAGCTGGAATTATAGGTGCCTGCCACCACCCCAACTAATTTTTGTATTTTTAGTGGAGACGGGGTTTCACCATGTTGGCCATACTGGTCTCTTTGGCCAGGCTGGTCTCGAACTCCTGACCTTGTGATCTGCCTGCCTTGGCTTCCCAAAGTGCTGGGATTACAGGTGTGAGCCACTGTGCCTGGCCACCTTTTTCTTTTGCTTAGGAGAGTTTTCAGTCCTCATTGAGTGCATAGATACGTAATTTCTTATTTTTTTCTTAAGAGATGAGATTTTACCTTGTTGCTCAGGCTGATCTTGAACTCATTAATCTGCCTACCTCGGCCTCTCAACATGCTGGGATTACAGGCATGAGCCACTGTGCTGAGCCAGTGTAATTTCTTTAGAGTTACAAAATACAAAAAGTAAAAATATTTATAATTAAAATGCTTACTCTTGTTGCATTTAATTTCAGAAAGAAACTATTATTAAAGAACTAAATCCCAGCACTTTGGGAGGCCAAGGTAGGTAGATCACTTGAGCTAAGAGTTCGAGACCAGCCTGGCCAACATGGCGAAATCCCGTCTCTACTAAAAAAAACAAAATTTAGCCAGGCGTAGTGGCGTACACCTATAGTCCCAGTTACTTGGGAGGCTGAGGTGGAAGGACTGCTTGACCCTAGGAGGTGGAGGTTGCAATGAGCCATGATTGTGCTACTGAACTCCAGCCTAGGTGACGGAGTAGACTGTCTCCAAAGAAAAAACAAAACAAAACTGAAACTAGTGGATTTTTGATCTTTGATTCAATTTGATACCTGTGCCTAAGACAGTGAGAAAAATGTGGTACTTTGTGAGGACATGGGCTTGGGTTTTCATTTCCTTGTCTTTAAGAAATATATACAGAGGCCAGGCGTGGTGGCTCACACCTATAATCCCAGCACTCTGGGAGGCTGAGGCAGGTGGATCATAAGGTCAAGAGATTGAGACCATCCTGGCTAACACGATAAAACCCCATCTGTACGAAAAATACAAAAAATTAGCCAGGCATGGTGGCACGTGCCTGTAGTCCCAGCTACTTCAGAGGCTGAGGCAGGAGAATCACTTGAACCTGGGAGGCGGAGGTTGCAGTGAGCCGAGATCACACTACTGTGCTACTACACTTCAGCCTGGCGACAGTGAGACTCTGTAACTAAAATACACACACACACACACACACACACACACACACACACACACACACAGAGGTAGGTTTGTGTGTATTTGTGAATGTGTGTGTTTATATGTTGCAGGTGCTCATGGCAGTGTGTAAACTTTCTACTGTTAGGATGGGCATGGTGGCTCACGCCTGTAATCCCAGCACTTTTGGAGGCCGAGGCAGGCGGATCGCTTGAGCTCAGGAGTTCAAGAGTATCCTGGGCAACATGGCAAAGCCCATCTCTACAAAGAAAAATGCAAAAAATTAGCTGGGCATGATAGCATGCACCTGTAGTTCAAGTTACTTGTGGGGATGCGGCGGTGGCTGAGGTGGGAGGATCGCTTGAGCCTAGGAGGTTGAGGCTGCAATGAGCTGAGATTATAGCACTGCACTCTATCCTGGGTGACAAAGTGAGACCCTATCACAAACAACTTTCTACTGTTAAATTAGATAACAGACTAATTGTTATATATGTGTATTTAATTACAGGTGTCCCGTTTCCCAAAAACTTTATGTCTGTGGCAAAGACTATTCTAAAGCGCCTGTTCAGGGTTTATGCCCATATTTATCACCAGCACTTTGATTCTGTGATGCAGCTGCAAGAGGAGGCCCACCTCAACACCTCCTTTAAGCACTTTATTTTCTTTGTTCAGGTAAGTTGAACCATGTCGATTTCTGTGTCCAGTGACTTGGACTTGTTTGAAGTCCAGTGGGAACTTCAACAAACAGCAGTGTGTCTTATTTATACATGTAGAGCCAATTATAGGCAAGCTTCTCTTTTCTGTTTTGTTCTCTTTTCCACAGTTGATTGATGTGTGCGGCAGTATAAAAAGGTATCTTTTTTTTTTTTTTTTTTCCTGAAGCAGAGTCTCTCTCTGTCACCCAGGCTGGAGTGCAGTGGAACAATCTTGATTCACTGCAACCTCCACCTCCTGGGTTCAAGTGATTCTCCTGCCTCAGCCTCCCAAGTAGCTAGGATTACAGGTGCGTGTCACCATACCCAGCTTATTTTTGTATTTTTAGTAGAGATGGAGTTTCACCATGTTGGTCAGGCTGGTCTCGAACTCCTGACCTCATGATCAGCCCGCCTTGGCATCCCCAAGTGCTGGGATTACAGGCCTGAGCCAGTGCACCTGGCGAGAATTGGAACTTTTAAAAATTAAAAAATAATTCACATTGTTTGAAAAAGATATCAAAGAATTGGTACGCCTTTAGCCTAACTTTAGAGATACTTGTATTTTGCATATTGCATTACATACATATGTCTGTCTAGATATTTCCTGGTAGCTTTATAGTAGATACTGCATATTATAGGTCTGTGTACTGTACCATGCTCTTCCTGATCTTCCTTCTCAGATTGTTGCATAAGGTTCTACTGCCCCTTTATCAAAAGTTGAGTTTGTAGTTTTCAGGTAGTTTTCTTTTTTCGGGGTCGGGGGGATGCAGAGTCTTGCTCTGTTGCCCATGCTGGAGTGCAATGGCATGATAGTGGCTTACTGCAACCTTTGTCTCCTGGGTTCAAGCAGTTTTCCTGCCTCAGCCTTCTAAATAGCTGGGATTGCAGGCACCCAGATAATTTTTATATTTTTAGTAGAGATGTGGTTTCACCAGGTTGGCCAGGCTGGTCTCGAACTCCTGACCTCAAGTGATCCACCTGCCTTGTCCTCCCAAAGTGCTGGAATTATAGGCATGAGCCACCATGCCCAGCCTTTTTCAGGTAATTTCTATGTAAATTTAAATATATATATACAGTTTTGATTTCAATGTTTAACAAAGTGAGGATCATACTGATACCTAGAGTTGCTTCTTTAATAAGTCTCCTGTTGTAAGAATATTGTAAAACAAACTCCCTTTTTTCTCCTGTACTCTCACCACACAGAATGCTTCTGTGACCAAACATGGGGACTGTCCCTCACACACCAAGCAAATGATCATTTATACAGTGGATACCAGATGAATGTCCTATAATTTGATTCAGTTCTGATACTAGCTAGAGGTAGCATCAGACCCTACAAGTTGAGAGCTCAGTCACACAAGACTGCCCCCCACTTTGGATATCAATCAAAAGTAATAGATTGTCATCTATACCTCTGACTGTAAACCAGGGTTCCTACAATCTCCCTCCCCTTGGGTTTGATTAATTTGCTAGAGCAGCTCATAGAATTCAGGGAAATACTTATCTCTACCCATTTATTATGAAAGATGTTACAAAAGATACAGATGAACAGCTAGATAGAAGAGATGTGTAGGGCCAGCAGAGAAGGGGTTTCCACGCTCTCTCTAGGCATGCCATGCTCCAGGAACCTCCATGTGTTCAGCTGTCCAGAAGCTCTCCTGAGCCCTGTTTTTTTGTGTTTTTATGGAAGCGTCATTACTTGGCCATGATTGATTAAATAATTGGCCATCGGTGATCAACTCAGCCTTTAGCCAGCCCTCTCCCCTCCCCACAGGCTGTGATCTGGGAAGAAAGAGGGCTGGCTGAAGGTTGACCAGTTCCCATCCTGACGCTTTATAGGAGCCCCCAGTCAGCAGTCATCTCATTAGCAATACAAGATACTCTTACCACTTTGGTAATTCCAGCAAGGGTTTTACGAGCTATGTGTCAGGAAACAGGGAGGAAAACCAAATACATATATCACAATGTCAAACCTATATTTTTATTTTTTTTTTGAGACAGAGTTTCACTCATGTTACCCAGGCTGGAGTGCAATGGTGCGATCTTGGCTCACCGCAACCTCCGCCTCCTGGGTTCAGGCAATTCTCCTGCCTCAGCCTCCTGAGTAGCTGGGATTACAGGCACGCGCCACCATGCCCAGCTAATTTTTTGTATTTTTAGTAGAGACGGGGTTTCACCATGTTGACCAGGATGGTCTCGATCTCTTGACCTCTTGATCCACCCGCCTCGGCCTCCCAAAGTGCTGGGATTACAGGCTTGAGCCACCGCGCCCGGCCCAAACCTATATTTTTAAAAAGAGGGCCAGGCATGGTGGCTCACCCCTGTAATCCCAGCGCTTTGGGATGCCAAGGTGGGCAGATCACTTAAAGCCAAAGTTCAGTACCAGCCTTAGCAAATAGTGAGACCACGTCTGTACAAAAAAAAAAAAAAAAAAAAAAAGAAAGAAAAAGAAGAGAATGAATACCTATTTTAAAATGGTCACAGAGGTTATTTCATGATTCTTTTGGACTTCAGAAAACTAGGGTTGGGAATCCCTGAGACAATTAAAGAGTTTCAGTTTTAGATGCATTTTTAAATGTTACTTTTCTTCTCTTTTTAGGAGTTTAATCTGATTGATAGGCGTGAGCTGGCACCTCTTCAAGAATTAATAGAGAAACTTGGATCAAAAGACAGATAAATGTTTCTTCTAGAACACAGTCACCCTCTTGCTTCATCTGTTGCTAGAACTATCTCATTGCTATCTGTTACAGACTAGTGATACAAACTTTAAGAAAACAGGATAAAAAGATACCCGTTGTCTGTGTCTACTGATAAAATTATCCCAAAGGTAGGTTGGCGTGATAGTTTCCAAGTAAGACCTTAAGGACACAGCCAGATCATAAGTACTGTGATAGCAACCAAGTATGACTCCTGTTCTTATCACAGAGTCATACCTGGTTGTAATATGTGATGATTAACCTGTAGTTTATAAGTTTACTTATTATTCTTTTACTCATTTTACTCAGTCATTTCTTTACAAGAAAATGATTGAATCTATTTTAAGTGACAGCATAATGGACATTGAGCATTTCCACCAATAACTTATGAATAAGTTTCCAGAACAGATTTCCTAATAACACAATCAGATTGGTTTTATTCTTTTATTTTACAAATAAAAAATGTATTTCTAAGTATCCTTGAAATTTAGAACATGTGTGTCACTTCAGATAACATTTTAGTTTCAAGTTTGTATGGTAGTGTTTTTATAGATAAGATACGTATATTTTTTCAAAATTCATGATTGCAGTTTAAATCATCATACGGCATGTGTGGGTGGGAGCAACCAAAGTTATTTTTACAGGGACTTTATTTTTTAATCTTTATTTGGAATTGTTTTCACATCTGTCTAAATTATTAGGAGTGTGTATATCAGAAGTAATTTTTTTATGTCTTCTAAGGATGGTCTTCCAGGCTTGTAGTCTGAAAAGCTTCATTCAAATAGTAGCTTTTGGCTGAGAAAAGGAATCCAAAATATTATAACAAATTTAGATCTCAAAACCACTATTTTTATTATTTCATTATTTTTCAGAGGCCTTGAAATTCTGAATAAGAGAATGGAGGAAAATACTCAGAGTACTTGATTATTTTATTTCCTTTTATTAAAAAAATTACTTCTATGTTTTTATTGTGTCTTGAGCCTTAGTCAAGAATAGTGTAGAAATGCATGAACTTTATTCTAATGAGGATAAAACTTAAGAAAAACCACAATAAACCGTGAAGGTGTACACATCTTACAACACAGCTAAAGTTTTGGTGTGCTACCTATTCTTGAGAGAGTGAGTGAGTGTATGTGTTTAAAGAAGACAAAATGGGAGAAATAAGTTTAAAAAAATCCTCATTCTGTTAATATTCAAAAGATGGACTGAGCTCCCACTTGGGTTTTATCTTAATTGTTTTTGTATCAAAACTTGAAATTCCTGTTTCTATTGGGATAAAGAAAACCTTCCCCTTGAGTGAAGAAAACATTTATTTTTTATTTGGTTTCTAGGATATAGTAAACTCTAACAGTCTATTTAAAATGTACTGAGGCACAACAGTTATTATACTGGAAGACATGCCAAACTGGCAAAGCTTTAAGTTCATCAGCATTCTATGTGGTTCAGAATGTGGTTTTGGCAAAGTACTTTACCAGCCTCCTTGATGGCTTTGATAAAGGTTAGATTTGATGGTTTTTTTTTTTTTTTTTTTTTAAATTTTTCTTCTTATTCCACTAAACTATAAAGAAAATAATTATTTAGAAACTCCATTTTAAATAATCATTTTCTATAAATTCTTAAATATATACAGAGTTTTAAAGGAAATAGAACATTTCATCTGATTTAGGTAGCATCCACATATCATTGAGGAATTAAAGTGTGGGACAGTCATTATTAAAAAAGAGAGAGAAAAGCCCTCTATTAGACATTCCATAATCCATGTTTTAAGTTTATCCAAAGGTCCAAATGTCAGCCATTCTGTATGTTCATGTTGATCATTTGCAAACAAGAAAGCAGGTTTCTAGATGTCACTTAGGCTGTGAACTGCCTCTCAACTTTTAAACCCTGTTGGCTTTACTTTTTTAAGTCCACAAGTGATGAAACTGGTTTCTCAGCTCGGCTTATACATTCCTCATTATTTCTAATATTTCAAATATAATCAAACAAAAAAAAAGTTATCACTTTTCTCCACTTATTTTCTAAGCCCCAAAGCAAATGAAAGACGATCACGTCAGGACAGTAGTAAAGGCAGCTTATAAATAGGACATAAATCAGAGATGTGTTGGTATTTTGATACTCAGACTGTCCTTTTTAAAGATAAAAACATTACCAGGATCCCAAGTTAATCTGGCTTAACCAACCGTACACCTAAATATTAGTGTTTAAGTCCAAGGCTGGGGAGCCAAGGTGGGGAGGAGAATTGGAGGAAGGGGAGATAATGAGATGAGGATGGCGCCTTCTTGGCTTGGCTAGAGGGGCAACCTTTGATAACAATTTGAAGAAATCAATCTTTTTGGCTCTTCTCGAGACTTTTATCTCCCCGTGCCCAAGGTTTGTCTGTTCCATAACACTCATTCCCTTCCCCCTGGCTAATCAGAAGTCATCTCTTCAGTGTCTGATCTCTGCTCTTCATACATGGTTACAGTCACGGGGTGAAGAGTGCTTGCTAAATTATGCAGTTAATCCTATGATGCTTTAATTTTCAGGCCTTCAAAAAAAACTTGGACAGTGATGTACAGATTTTTAAGTAGTTGAACTTCCTTTTACTAGTTTTTGTATTGACAGCCAAATGTGTCTTTCATTCTTCAGATTGTGAATAAAGTGATTTTACAGGACTTCCAGCAAACAAAGTATTTCCTTTCATCTAAGGCTTGTAGAACCCTAACTCATATAGCTGCTTACATGAGAAATGCAAAATCTGTATTCACCATGATTTAGGTAACAAAGGTAAAGTTTTTCTAGTAGTGCAGGGGTAAGAGGAACAATCTTGGCGGTAATATTAAGTTTTGCCAATATTATGATTTTCTGATTGTATTGTTGGCCTTCTGTCTGAGCATTGAGGATGTACTAAAAGTAGAACTTCTCAAACATAATATCATTACCTCATAAGCATTAACAAATCAGGCCCAAGGAGCATAAGTCCTAGAAGATTTGTTTTTAAGCAGCCCTAGTCATGGCGCTGGTGCAGTCGCTGCCTTGTTGTAGGAGCCTGCCTCCTGTCGATAACAAAGCCTCACCTGAAAAATGCCAGCCTGGACACCAAAGGCTGAGCACAACCTTCAGCAGGCACGTTATTTCCCCGAGATCAGTTCAGTAAGTGAATTTGGTTTCTACTATTGTAGAATTCTGGCAAAGAGGTAAAATCGTAGTCCTTAGGTCATCCTATTTTTGCTTTCAATTTTGGTATTTCAGACTGTATGTAAAAGGCCTTGGGGGATGATAGTTTATGTTGTAGCAGTAATTTTTTTTTGAAGCAACTGCATTGACATTCATTTGGGTTTTCTCTAATTATCAGATTCTATTCCAAACAAGTATTCTGTAGGTCCAAATGGATTACCAGTGTGCTATAGACTATTATTAAGAACAGCATTCTATTCTACATCAAAAATAGTTTGCGTAAGTTAGTTTTGGTTACCATCTAAAATCTTTTTAAATGTTCTTTACATAAAAATTTATGTTGTATTTTAAAATCCTTAGGGGCTTTATCTATTTTTCTAAGTCCGTTAACTGTACTTTTTTAAAAAGTATTTTGTATCTACTTTTGTAACTTTATCAGAATAAAATATATTGAAAGCAAGAAATGACTGATTATGTATATCAACACACTTATTTCTGTTTAAATATAGAAACTTGAGAGTTTTGCAAGTTCTGCGGATTCTTTGAGTATAGCTTAAATTTGAAAAGTTACCTTTGTATACATTTAGTGGCTAAAATGTTTTCTTAGCCCTTAAAAATGGAAGTTCCTGAATGAACTAAGTATCATACTAGGACCCAAAGCCTGAGAAACAAACTATGCCTCTGATAGTGGCTAAAACCCATCCCAGACAAAAATACGTGGTCTCCTTCCTGCCATGCGAATCAGGCTCCAGATCTCTTTGTACACTCCTGTTTCTGAGATCGTAGAGTTAAAATTAAAAACTTAATGAATGTGGCTAAACAGTACAAGTTAACAATAATTTTATTTTTTTTGAGACGGGGTTTTTGTTGCCCAGGTTGGGAGTACAGTGGCACAATCTTGGCTCACTGCAACCTCCACCTCCTAGGCTCAAGTGATCTTCCTGCCTCAGCCTCCTGAGTAGTTGGGACAACAGGCATGCACCATCATGCCCAGCTAATTTTTTGTATTTTTTGTAAAGATGGAGTTTTGCCATATTGCCTAGGTTGGTCTCGAACTCCTGAGTGCAAGTAATCTGCCCATCCCAGCCTCCCAGAGTGCTGGGATTACAGGCATAAGCTACCACACCCAGCCTAGTTAATACTAATTTTGTATAAGCTATGAGTAAACTAGCAATCAGTTTTGTATTTCTTTTGACATTTTCAGTAGGCCTAAAATTGATCATAAAAAGGATAAGCTTAATCTTTGGGAGAGCCAGACACTGGGTTCCAACCTGCGCAGCCAGAAACAGTGTCCAAACTATGCCATGGACCTTCTCCAACAAATACCCCATTGATGTCCCTACTAGGTATGGACACTACAGCCTGCACCATCCCCACTTAGGTGTGGACACTAGCCTGCACCATTATCGCTGGCCACTAGATGCCAGTCTCTGCCATGGAACCTCTCAAAAGCTAGCTACCTTTTTGCTTTTTACAGGAGTCCTTTAGTAGGTTATCTCATTTAATCCATAAAGCAACCTGGGGAAAGTGATTGCAATTAAGAGATACAGCAAAAATATTTCAGTATTCTTTAGACCATGCCACGAAAGCTCCGACAAGTTCAAATAGTACATAGCAAGTCAGGCCTCTGTTTCTCTGGATAGCATTTGCAAAAATTCTGCATGCTCAACAGTGCTAGGAAGCTCTATAAAATAAAATGCTGATACAATGAAAAATTATCCTAATGAGGTTAAAAAAGGAGGTGCATCCAAAGAGTTCCTACCTAATGAATTTCCTGAGTTGGCCCAGATTTAATGTATGTTTGAAAGCTATGAGTGATCATGGACTGAAGAGAAGAGAATCTCAAGGTCACAGCAAAAAAAGATGCAGAAAGCATTGACTCATTTCCTGGGACTAAATGCATTTCACTTTTATTTTAATCATTAAGTAAAACTTACCTTTTATTTGTTTCTGCCAAAAAAATACTGGAACTGTTGGAACTAATTTGGAAGCCCAAGATTGGTCAGATTGTCCTGCAAATCCTTTTCTAGAAAGTTTCAAATTTAGACCTTTGGAGCGCAAATTGCTGAGCCTCTATCAGTTCTGTTCCATAATAACGGTGCATGCACTTTTTGTCCTATATTGGGCTGTTGACAGATGACTCAAGTAAGGCTCTGTCCTCATGGAGCTTATAGACCAGTGGGAACAGACACATACATAGATAGTTGTAAAGGGCCGTAAGTGCAACAAAAGTTACAGGTAAGTTGCAGGCCCTAAGCTTATTGTGAGGCAGTCAGAGGTGGCTCCTTGGGAGAAGACAAGGCTTGAACCTTAAAAGCTGGGCATTAAAAAGTGGGCAACTGCGTAACCAAACTTGTAGCATAGCTTATACAGGGAGATGCTAGTATAATATTACTGAAGGATAGATTTCATTTGGGCAGGTGGATAGTGGTTAAATCATAAAAAAGAACTGTAGGTGATGGGGTGTCTGAAGGATTTCAAGTAGTAAATGTTTTCATTTCATTCATTTTTGAGACAGAGTCTCACTCTGTTGCCCAGGCTGGAGTGCAGTGGCTCGATCTTGGCTCACTGCAACACCCACCTCCGAGGTTCAAGTGATTCTCCTGCTTCAGCCTCCTTAGTAGCTGAGGAGTAGAGGCACACGCCCCCACACCCGGCTAATTTTTGTATTTTTAGTAGGATGGTGTTTCACCATGTGGCCAGGCTGGTCTCGAACTCCTGACCTCAGGTGATCCGCCTGCCTTGGCCTCCCAAAGTGCTGGGATTACAGGCGTGAGCCATCATGCCCTGCCTAAATGTCTTCACTTCAGATGGCTGACGGCCTAGGGGAAACTGAGGATAGGAGGAAAATGGGGCAGAGAGTAGCTCAGAATAACATAGTGTGGGCAGTCATCAAATTATGGGGAAATGGAATATTAGAAATAAGCAAAAGTACCCTTTCTTTTGGAGACAAAAACCTGGTAGAAAGGCCGCCACGGCGAGCTAATGGTTTGTAGTTTGAGTAGAGACAGTGTTTCACCATGTTAGCCAGGCTGTTTCTGAACTCCTGACCTCAGGTGATTTGCATGCCTTGGCCTCCCAAAGTGCTTGGATTACAGGTATAAGCCACCTTGCCTGGCCAAAAGTGCCATTTTAAATAAAAGGAAGAATTCTACCAATACAAATCTGTAAGCTTTGTTTAACCTCATTTGGTTAGAAGTGAGAAACCCAATTAAAAACTGGGTTTAGTGCTTATTTCCAGCACTGCTGGTTTCCAGCTGTACAAACAAAGGCAAACATTTGTCTCCTTTTATCTGTTTTCTTCTTTGTCTTGCTTCATTTCCAAAGTAGCTCTGCCTGCATGGTTGCAAAGATGGTTGCCAGCAACTCCAGCCTTTCTACCAGCTTAGCAGCACACCAGAAAAAGATCAACATCTGGGAACTATAGACACTGGGGAATACAAGAGGGAGGAAGGAAGAAAAGGGGCAAGGGTTCAAACTACCTATTGGGTACTATGCTCATTACCTGAAGGACGGATTCATTCATACTCCAAACCTCAGCACCATGCAATATACCTCTGTAACAAGCCTGCATATATACCCTCTGATTCTAAAATAAAAGTTGCAAGGCCGGGCGCGGTGGCTCAAGCCTGTAATCCCAGCACTTTGGGAGGCCGAGGCGGGTGGATCACGTGGTCAAGAGATCGAGACCATCCTGGTCAACATGGTGAAACCCCGTCTCTACTAAAAATACAAAAACATTAGCTGGGCATAGTGGCGCGTGCCTGTAATCCCAGCTACTGAGGAGGCTGAGGCAGGAGAATTGCCTGAACCCAGGAGGCGGAGGTTGCGGTGAGCCGAGATCGCGCCATTGCACTCCAGCCTGGGTA